AATATATTCAGCCTCGTAGGAGGACAAAGCCACAACTCTCTATTTCTGAGATTGCCAAGTGATGAGATTGTTGCCGAGGAAGAAGAAGACTCCAGTAGTGCTCTTTCGTGTGTCAACATCGTCGGCTAGATCACTATCACTGTAGCCGATGAGCTATGCCTGCTTCTTCTGAGTATAATGGTAGCCAAAATGCAGGGTACCAGCAACATACCTCAGCACTCATTTCACAGCTATCATCTGCTCTATTGTCGGTGCCTCCATAAACCCATTGATGTAGCCGACTGAATACGTCAGGTCTGGTCTTGAATTCACTAGATATCATAGGGAGCCCACAATGCTTCTATTGAATGTAGGATCAACAGTAGTAGCAGTGCTCACCTTGCTCAATTTCAGTCGTGGCTCCATTGGAACTTGACTTGGATTACACCCGGCCATGCCTGCATTCTCCAATATCTTAGCTGCATAGGCACTCTGACTTACAGTAATGCCCGTCTCTGTCTATGCCACCTCAAGCCCAAGATAGTAGTGGAGAAGACCCAAGTCACTCATCTTGAATGTTGCCTGCATTTCTGCCTTGAATACGTCGATGTCAGCTTGGTTTCCTCTAGTGATCACAAGATCATCCACATAAACCCCCACGACAAGATGATGGCAGCGTTCACCGTGGAGGTAGACAGCATGCTCAGAAGAACTCCTCTGGAAGAACAGGTTGATCAGCGACTCATCTAGCTTGGAGTACCAGGCGCGCGGGGCTTGATGGAGTCCATAGAGAGCTTTGACGAGGTGGAGTACCTTGCGTTCGTGCCCCTTGAGCACAAAACCTGGGGGCTGCTCAACGTACACCTCTTCCTGGAGAACGCCATTCAGGAACACGGACTTGACGTCCATGTGATTCACCTCCTAGCCTTCAGAGGTGGCATGGGCGAGCAACAGTCGGACAGACTCAAGTCATGCAACCGGAGCGAAGACTTCATCGAAATCAACTCCTTTGGCGTTGGACATATCCTTTGGCGATGAGCCAGGCCTTGTGCTTGGTGATGACCCCGGCTACGTCCTTCTTGGTCTTATAGACCCACTTGAGGCCAATCGTCCTTGTGTGCGGCGGTGGCTCGACTAGCTCCTAGGTACTGCTTGCCTCGATGGACGTCATCTCGTCTAGCATCACGTGGTGCTAGCACTCGTGCTGCAGCGCCTCCTCAAACAACGTCGACTCAACGTCGCTCGCCAACAACAGTTGCTCCTCCTGGTCCCGTTTAGTGAGCCTAGGCTGCGTAGCCTGCCCAAGCACGTTGTTGACGTGGCAAAACCGGAGTGGCGCATCATCATCGTGGTCGTTGTCCAGCTGCTCGCTGGCTCCAGCACTTGGTGGCGAGGCGAACTCGATGCCTTGGTGCACCTGTGTGCTCGGTGTTGTGGACATAGAGCCAGTTGCAGGTGAGCTAGCCATTGACCATGTCATGGCTAGCGGCGGCGAGGATGTTGACAATGTTGGTGAGGACGAACTCGGTGCAAAGGGTGATGTCGGTGTATGCATCGTCGTTGTACTGGTGGTGGTGATCATGGCGGGCTCCACTGGTGCGGGCTCCTCGACGATGAAGTCTGCGGGCTCGCTGTTGTGCTCATCGGGCCATGCCCACTATGTAGTGTAACATCCTAATGGGCCAAAGTGGGCCCAATCCAATCCAGTTGTGAGAAGCGCAGCGTTTTGCCAACGCGCTTGTAGCGCAGTGGTGAGCGCTCCCGTCATGGAGGCCACCCACCCGCGTTTGAATCCTAGTTGTGGATCGGCCGGGTGTGGCACCGGGGTTTTTCCTCCCCATATTTGTTTCGTGCAGGTCCTGGACACTCATGTGGTGCTACAATGGGACTACGACGTGCCTGTCGTCTACGAGGTTCGTGTGGCTCCGATGATCTCCAGAAGGACGTTTGAGTTGTATAGGTTGTAGTTTCTAGACATGTGATGGTGTGAATGTGTTGTGTAGAGTACAGATACTACAACTTATACCCTAGAGTCCAGGCTAAAGAAGAAGAAGCGCAGCGTTTTCTGTTTTTAGCCCGTGTTTAGTTCCAAAAAATTTCCCAAAAAGTGCTACAGTATCCATCACATCGAATCTTACGATACGTGTATGGAGCATTAAATGTAGACGGAAAAAAAACTAATTACACAGTTTGGTTGGAAATTGCGAGACGAACGTTTTGAGCCTAATTAATCCATCATTGAACACTAATTGCCAAATAAAAACGAAAGTGCTACAGTAGCTAAATTTCCAAACTTCAACCAACTAAACAAGGGCTTAGCTTTCATATTTATTGGAAGGTACAGTAGAGCAGAGCAGCACGATCACAGTGCATACGTTGCGGGAGTTCAGCGCGTCCATCCCCACGCTCCGCAACGCCAGCCATGCCTGCATGCCCAGGCTCGTGGGCGAGCGAGTCTCGCGCCACGGCCTCCTACACGTGCGGCAGCCACAACTTGGTGCTCACGCCCATACATCAACTGAGGCCCCGTTTAGATACAAAATTTTTTAGGTTTTGGCTACTGTAGCACTTTCGTTTGTATTTGGTAATTAGTGTCTAATTATGGACTAATTAGGTTCGAAAGTTTCGTCTCGCGATTTCTCACCCAATTGTGTAATTAGTTTTTTTTCGTCTACATTTAATACTCCATACATATACTGCAAGATTCGATGTGATAGATACTGCGTAAAAATTTTTAGGTTTTGGAAACTAAACAGACCCTGAAAACAGAAACATGCAATCCTGTCTAACGTGCACAAGATTACTAACAAAGAGGGGCGCGGATGCTCTCCCGACTGCATGGCACAAGCGGAGGCGCACGACTCGGCAACGAAGAAGCATCCCGGAGGATTTTTGTGAGACGGAGACGACCGGCGCATTTATTCACATCGGGGAGGACGGCGCTTGCCCAGCGGACCGATGGTGGCGCGTCCTCCACCACTGCATGGCGGCGTCCCTGTGCGCGGTACCCGCGGCCAGCGCTTCCCACTGCACGCGCGAAACCCGGGCGAGGCGAGGACTTCCGCGACGGAGAGGACAGCGGGTGCGGGTCCCACTGGTGCACGGTGAACAGGCGCAACCGGTGTGGCACGCGGGCCCCAGTACGCGCAGCGACGTCGAGAACCGGACCTCCGATCCCAGCGCCCAGAATTCCAAAATTCAATTTTTAGCGCGAATACCGGACATCCGGTCCCCCGAAGTTGGCGCCGCCGGAAATCCTACGGACACTGTTGTGCAGTGTAGTATTTTGTTTGTATTTTATAATAATTATCCGATCGTTGACTAATTAGGCTTAAAATGTTCGTCTTACAAAGTACAACCAAACTGTACAATTAGTTTTTGATTTTGTCAACATTTAGTACTCTATGCATTTATCGTAAATTTGATGTGATAGAGAATTTTCTTTTTGTATAGTGTTAAAGTTTGAATTTTAGGTAACTAAACAAGGGTCAGCCTCCCGTCAGAGCTCTGGAGCTATTAAAAATTGAATATTTCTTGGACCTCCGGTGCAAACCAGCGGTCAGGTATGGCCGTATGGGCTCGCAAATTTTAGCATAAAAGCTAAAATCTCTTTTTAGCTCCGATATCCGACTTTGATGATCTTGACATTTTGGATAGCTATCCGGAGGGCTAACCATCTCATCAACTTCATTTTTAAAAACTGTTTGTCTCATGATAAGACTCTAATTTTAAAAAATAGAAAACCCTCCAATATGATGGCGGATGAGGATAATTTTTATATGTAAATTGTAGACTTCGATGAGATCTACAACTTTGTAATTTTGAGTTTTTTTATTTGAGGACAGTAAGATGCTCGAAAAAATAATATAAAATTTCAGCACCATAATAATCGTCAACTAGCACTTGCCGCATTAGAGCACTAATATATTATTTGTATGGAGTTAAATGAAAATACATTTTATACCAAAGTTGTAGCTCTCAACGAGATATACAACTTTGTAGTTTTGAGCTTTTTTTCATTTGAGGGCGTTAAGATGCTTAAAATAATAATATAAAATTTCGACGCCTCCTAAAAATATCAAAAGTACTGTTCATACGCAAAACCGTCCAGAAGGTTGAAATTTGAACTTTTTCAAGAGTTGGAGGGCCAAAGTTATCCGGTTTTGAAGTTCGAGGTTGAAATCTATACTTTGGTGATAGTTGGAGGGTGTAAATTATACTTTACCCTAAAATAATTAATTATCAAGCAAACCAGGGTGTTACAGTTATAAGCACTGACTGTTCTTGGTGGAGAAATGAGCAATTAGTCTCCCTCGATCCACCCAAGCCTTCAAGGGTCCTCAACCAGCAAGTGATAGAATTGAAATTCCAGTAACCATAAACTCTATCAAGTGAGGATTAACTAGGATTCCTTGTCAGCTTCAGAGCAGCAAAAGGATGGCCATTGCAACGCCCACAGATCAACAACCCCAACATAGCAAGGACTGCAAACTAACAAGCACAGGGATACATATACAGAATTACAGATACACCACCTATAGTGCTAAAGAAGCACAGAAATGACAACCGCATAACACATTCCAACGAGCAATTTGAGCAATGTGGTGCAATGAGCTGACGATCATGCATGTTGACAGATAATGATAAGGTACAACCAATGCTCTTACAGTCAGCGAAACTAAATCTTTCTTGCATTATTTTACGCTGACTAGTGGTTAGCCCAAGTTTTATCAGATAATTCATTTCTGCTAATGAATTGTAAATTGGACTAGTAATTTATAAACATGCTCAGTTGCACATGGTACTCAATTTCATAAATTGCCATCAGCACCATCTTTAAGAGAAACGATACCCTTCTTTTACAGAGAAAACAAATGTTTTGATAAAGAATCATAGTTTGATTGGGATCGCGGCCAGCACTTGGCTAGTGATACACTAGAAACATTTTTATGTGTTTTGCTTGTTAGTTTGCAATGCATGTTTCATTGCTTTCTGGCACTAGCCATGCATAGTGATTATCAATGGCTATAACTGCATTACATTTTAGCGCTCTACTGTTAGTATGTGGCCAATTGCTTCAAGTTCCAGAGGAAGTGGGTATTTGTCCATGTGCTGCCCTGAACTGCTATTTGGAGTCCCATCATTCTAAAACTCATTCAGTTCTTGGGGATTTTGGCCGTGTTCGTTTTGCTAAAATTTGGCTTATGCTGATTTGTTGTGAGAGGAAAATACTGTTCTTTCGCTGAAAAGTACTATCCGATAATAATTCTCTTACATGTTTGTTTTTCTTTTATCAGGAGCTCCACAAGCGTTGCTTCAAAGCTGTGCCACCTTTGCAGCATTCTCATGCATCATGGAGGGGCTCAAATAAGCAGCAGGCTGCAATGGCTCGCACACTTGGCAGGACTGCCGTGACGGTCGTGCATGAGAAAGGCGGTGTTCTGCCCCCGTTCACGCTTCCACCAATTCTTGATGCATCTGATGCTTTAGCTTCATGCTGCTTAGCGTTAGTAAAGCCTAAGCACTGGACTACAGAATAGAGGGCGTGAGAGATGGTGAAGTAAGGTGACTTCAATCTTCGGTTCTTTATTGTGTTGACCCCAGCTTATATAAATTTTGTTTTTGGACAAGATGTGTAACACGCCTAATTAAAATCCAGATGTGCTTCATCAGGCCAGTTTTCCCTTTGATGTGTTAACGTTTGTAGCATGCCCTTGCGGATTCCGCTGGGTCTGGCATATTTATGTGGGATAAGATCATAAATATTTGCCTGAATGTTCGTCTTCTTTTGGGCATTTTGCATAAGTGAAGTCACTGAAGTGACAGTTTTTTTTTCAGAATGTAAAATAGGGATGCAGGTTTTGTTGGGTCACCCAACTACTCGATACAAAAAAAAAGGTGTTATTGCCCTATATGAGCTAGCTGAGTGTCCCTCTTGGTCTCTTGGAGAGGTGCCCTTAGACGCACAGAGATTGAAGGAGCCGGCCTATAGCTTGTGTCCTCCGCAGGTGCTCTATTATATATTGCTTTATAACTGTATCTTACTGCTATTTTCACTTTTCATGACGTCCTCCCAAGTAAAGTTGAAAACGGACGGGATAAATTCCGTTTCATCCGCAACCGTATACCGTATTTTCCCGTCCGTTTTCGTTTTTTTCCAGGATAAACGGAAACGGAACTGAAAATGGGATGGTGTAAAATGGGAGCGGGACCGAAAACGGTGGAGTGTTTGTCCGTCCGTATTTGCGGAATCCCATTTTTGACCGAGATATCCCATTTTTCATCAATCCAGGATAGGCAGCCCAACACAGCCTAGAAGTCCAATGTGCGCAAAATACGCAAATCTGTTCTATAGAGGTTTTTGTGAGATAAAAGAGCTGCTAGATAAATGGTCTTGTAGTCTAGATTTGATTATTAGGGAAATGACCAAATCTATGAGTGGAAAATTTGAGAAATATTGGACTTCTTCCAATACTGCTCTTGTTGTAGCATGCTTCCTTGATCCAAGATATAAGCACAAACTTGTAGAGTATTACATGAGAAAGTTCTATGGTGACTACTTTCAAATTAAACTTAATGAATTTATTAGTGTTCTCAAGGACTTGTATAAGTCTTATGCTACCTCTACACCTGAATCCTCAAAGGCAAAGGGTGTTGTGAGTGCAAATGAATTGGTCAGCCCAACAGATCATGAGAGTCAAGAACAGATCATGTGAGTCAAGATGGTGAACTTGAGAGTTTCTTATATGATGATTGTGTGCCTGATAGAAATGAAGTAAATGAGTTAGACAAATACATGACAGAGCTACTGCTGAAGCAAAATCCATTTGATATTTTGGCTTACTGGAAGAACAATACAGATAAATATCCAATTTTTGCACAAATTGCTCGGGATATGATGACAATACAAGTGTCAACAATAACTTCTGAGTCTGTATTTAGTGGGGCTGGGCGAGTTGTTGATCCCCATCGTAATCGTCTAGATCCTGAGATGGTACAAGCACTGATTTGCGCTAAGGATTGGATACATGCAGCAAGCAAATGTAATATTTTTCTTAGTTCTTCAATCTAATTATCACATATTATTTTCCTAGTTGATCATTCTGAAGTACAATATTGCGTGGTCTTTATTTTGATTTTTTAGATCCCAAATACATTCCTACAACTATGGTTGAACTGACACCTCTGGAGACGGTATCTGTTAGTACTAGTCCCCCACCACTGATGATGATGAGGTATTTAGCTTGGCTTCTGAAACAGTTCTTGTAATAACCAAAAAATCCACATACCAAAAATCACAATTACAAAATTTTTGTTTAAACCTTATGTGATGTTGAGTGACACATGTAGAAGCTAAACCTTAGTTTTAGATTAGATGTGACCCAACTAGGTTAAAATCATAAGCATAGTTTGGTTTTATGCCACATGTGTAATTAAATTCCTAAATAAATAAATCATGCATGCATCCTTAATTCCACTTGTGATTTGGATTCTTTTGCCTTATGTGATGTTTAACTAACTTACTTAATATTTAAGATAAACCCTAAATAATGAATTATTTGTTGGAAGAATAAAACACCCCTATATAAAAACTTCAACTATTTTTGTATAACAAAAATAGCCAATAATCTCTAATATATGGGATGTATTTTGACCACTATTTGAAACACCTTGTGGGACCCACTACATGACTCAAGCTCAAGTTTAAACTCTAACTAAATTTGAATCAAGCAAAAGAAAGAAAAGAGAAACAAACAGTAGAAAAGAAAAGGAAAGGAGGGGAGCCAGCAGCAGCCCAAGCTCGCTTTCGGCTTTTGCGAGCCACCCTACCGAGCCCGGGCCCCCTCCCACTTCACAAGACGCTGCCCACGGCCGCCCCAAGAACACTCTACCGCTCAGCAAGACAAGCCACCGACGAGCCGGACTACCACACCATCATGCATCAAGACGCCCGTGATCGAGACAAGTCGACAAACGGGCCCTCTCGTCATCGGCCCGGCTACAACATCATCGTCTTCCCCACACGCCCTCCACCACGCGATCGGGAGCCGATCATGAGCAAAGCGCGGCCCGGGTCACGCACATCGCATGACCTGCCCCCACCTTAGCGCCACCATTTAATCGTCCCCGCACGCGAGAGCCGCCCGATGCGCTCGGCGCATCACCAGCCGTTCCGCCATCCGCCATGGATGGGCATGGAGCTCGGCCTATAAAAGGAGCACCCCGAGCCCTAGCCCTCCATTCACCTCTCCGCCGCCGTGCGGTTCGCACCAACACACTAAGCCGAGGGACGAGAGGAGAAGGAGAGGCGCGGAGAAGGACGCCGCCGCCAGAGTAGAGGAAGGCGCCACCGTCTTCTTCCGCGAGCCAGCGCAGCACCACGCACCGCTACACGGCCGCACCGTCATCATGACACCGCCACTCCGCACCGCCAAGCACACCGCGGTGAGCACCTTGGCTGAGACCTCCTCCTAGCCCCATGGACGTCGAGCACGCACACGAGCACGCATGTGAGCACGCACGTACGCGCACACCGCAGCCACGAACACGGCCGTGGTGAGACCACCGCGGCCGCATCACCACGATAGAGGTGACGCCACCACCTTGGTTGGCTCCTCCTCGCCGCGAAACACGCCACGCTCGCGATCGAGGTAGACGAAGGCCACCGGAGGACCCCCGTTGACCACACCGCGCCGCGGCCGGAGCGCCGCCGCAACCACTTCGACTCCACCGTGGCCAGGACCACTGGGAGCATCTGGCGCCTCCTTGCCTCGCCCGCCCTGTTCACTGGAGCCACGGGAAGCTCACGTGCCCCACCAAGCATGCTCCTAGCCACCACATCGCCCTGCCGTCGTCGACACGCCACAGCCGAACCTTCGTCGCCATGGCCAGCCCCATGGGGAACCCTACTCGTCACTTCGACCTCACCATCATGTTTGCCATAGCGGGGCGATGCTTTTACCCACCTAAATTGAACACCAGCGCCACGGGTGAGGCTCGCCGGTGACCTCACCGCTGGCGGGAGCCCCGTCGAGGAAGAGAAGGGGATTTTCCCCTTGCCGGCCACACATCCGTGCACTTGGTGCACGTGAACCGAACCCTGGGAAGGAGTAAGTGGACCAAGTCCTTCATAGACCGGCTCTGTGGTCTATGGACCAATGCAGGCGGGTTCACCATGAATCGCGCCTCACCTGCGCCCGTGGACCACAGCCCGTTAGTGGCCCAGTAAGACGACGTGGCCGCACCAGTGCGCGCCACGTGGTGGGCCAAAGCCCAGCCCGTATCCAGGCCCAACCAGCCCAGTTTGGACTCGGCCTGAGCTGACCGTTGACCGGGACCCACCTGTCAGCCGCGGTTTAGCTCTGATGATGCCATACTGACGTCATGCCGATGATGTGACCACGCCAGCGTCGGGGACTTCGGCGACCTCTCCGACCACCTCGGCGATCTCTCCGACCACCTCGGTGACCTCTCCGACCACCTCGGCGACCTCTCCGATCACCTCGGCGATCTCTCCGACCACCTCGGTGACCTCTCCGACCACCTCACCAGCTGATACACCACTCCAAGTCCCTACATGCCACGTGAACCCGTCACAGTGTGACACGTGTCAGCCCTGAATTAATCAGCCTTTAATATTTTCAGAAATGGATTTAATCTTCGGAAATTCATAACTAATTCATACGACCTCAGAAAAATATGAAACCAGGACCAAAATTCATCTAAAATCGAGCTCTACGCAATGAACCCATGTTTGAGTGCATTTGACTCTTTTGAATTTTCATTGCTTCTTTGTGCTATTCTATAGACGTCGTTAACGCGACTATAATTCGATCGTATGCAGACTCGGAGGAGAACCAGACGGACGAGGATCATGAGTACCGTGAGGAGTGCGGGAACGACTTCACTGAAGGTGCCACATCCCACCCAACCTCGTAGCAGCTATTACGCATGGCTAATATAGAACTGCTATTGTTTTACTTTATTGTTATATTCACACTATGATATGACTTATATGGTAGTATGCTTACTTGATGGCCTATACCTTGACGTAACCTTACCCCTGCTTACCCTGCTATTAGGCTAGACACACGCTTGCTGCTATATTTCATTGCTTATCACTTCTACTACGCTTGTACTACATTGATGCGTGATGGAAATTGATGTTATCTGGACTATGGGGAGAGTGCTGCGTGTGTGACTTGGGTGCGTGGAGGGTGAGGGTTGTGTCGACCAAGTTAGAATATACGATGAGCCTAGGGCAAGTCTTGCCACGGGGTGCTATCTGGGCACCCCTGGAAATGGATACCAGTGGTGGATAAATGGTATATGAGGTGGCCCTAGGTGTGAACCTATGATGGGAGGAGCCCAGGGTGGAGGTGCTATGGTGGCACGATAAATGGAAACCCTGATGAAGACATTCTGGCTTGGTCATCCCTAAGGACTTACTAGTACTCAGATTCACCGGGAAACCTTACGTACCACTCGCCCTATATGGTGCGGGGCGGCCGGACTACTTGGTAGGATATTGCCACTACTG